GCTGCGCCAGCTGATGCACCCATCGTTGAACACGAACACGTAACCGCTGGTGCTGCGTCGAGTCTCAATGTCGCCAGCCCAATCCGCGTCCGAGTAGCCGATCAACTCACCGTCGCTGGAGCCGGAGAAACGAATGCCGTGCGTCGGAGTCGCTTGCAGGTACCGGAGCACGCGCTTGAGGGCTTTCCAATGCGTCGGACACGGATCGGCGGCGAACTGGCTCAGTGTGCCTCAGGCAGCGGCGAGATCTGGACGAGTGCCAACCATTAGGTACATCACAGCACCGACCGCACTGCGATATGGTACACCCTTCATGGTGTCGTCATGCATGCAACCACCTTCGCACATGGTCTTGGTCAACTTCAGTCCAGGGTCTTGAGGTGTCTTCACGGGATTGCAGTCTTGCATGCCGAATTTAGTCAAGATCGAGTGCACGAACTTGGTTTGCTTCATCAACACGTCGCCCGACTTGTCATCACGCTCGACTTCCATGCCGAGGCAGTATTCGAGTTCACCGAGGTCGGACATCTCAAAGCGCTCACTCAACGCACGCTTGGTCGCTACGAGCAGATCCATGTCGTTGCACGCGAGGATGAGGTCGTCGACGTAGAGCACCACAAACATCATGGCCTTGTCGTCACGCTTGACGTACACGCAGTGATCCATCTCGCACTTGGTGAAACCGATCTTGCGCATAAACTCGTCGATGGTCTGATTCCACATGCGAGGCGACTGCTTGAGACCGTACAACGCGCGCTTGAGCTTGCACACAAGGTCGGGATTCTTGGGGTCGACAAATCCTTCGGGTTGCTTCATGTAGATCTCTTCTTCGAGCAGACCGTTCAGGAACGCCGTCTTGACATCCATCTAGTGCAGCACAAGCTTGTACCGGGCCGCGATGCTCAAGATGATCCGGATCGACGTGAACTTGGCCACTGGCGCAAACGTCTCTTCGAAGTCTACGCCGTACTTCTGCAGGAAACCCTTTGCGACGAGACGCGCCTTGTATCGCTCGATGAGGCCTTCAACGGTATCCTTTACCTTAAAAACCCACTTGCTGCTGATGGCCTTGCGACCATGTGGCAATGGCACGAGCTCCCACGTCTCGTTCTTGCAGAGCGACTCAAACTCAAAGTCGCACGCTTCGATCCACTTGCTTGCGTCGCTGGATCCCATCGCCGACTCGAACGACGTCGGCAAATCCCCCACTGAATAAACGACGTGAGCGCATTTTTTTCTTCTTCTTCAATCGACGTAAGAGTCGCCGACATGTCATCGAGCGATGACCTTGAAGCTGGTGCTGGCGTCGAACTTGTTGCACTTGTACGATCCACGCGTCCGTAGCGCTTCTCCACAGGTGGCTCCGACAGAAGTTCGAGCGAGTGCGTCCGAGAATGACGCTTGGACCCCGGTGGGTACTCGACGTTAGGTTGCCGCGACTGTTGGGGCTGGCGACGCGAAGACTGGCGTTGTTGCCATTGCGGTCGCTCGTTCGTAGAGACTGGCACCGCCGGTTGCTCAGTCATGCCGTCGTCCTCGTCTTGGTTGCTGTAGTCATCTCTGTCTGCACCGTCGGTCGCTTCGTCGACATCTGAAATCTCGACTGACGTGCTGCTTCCGACTTGGCCGCGCTTGCCGCTGTCGAACGTGTCTTCCATGAACTGCGCGTCGCGACTCACCACGATCCGGCTGCTCGACAGCTCCTCGAACCGATACGCTTTCTCATGGTCCGAGTAGCCCAAAAAACGACACAACACCGACCTTGCGTAGAGCTTCGACCGCTTCTCCCTTGGCACGTGCACATACGCGTGACACCCAAAGACCTTGAGGTTTTTCAACAACGGCTTCTTCTGCGTCCATGCTTCGTGTGGCGACTTGTCGTTGCCAGTCGCACGCGTCGGGCATCGAATCCGCAGAAACTCTGCCGTCTTCACCGCTTCACCCCAGTAGCGCTTGGATAGTCCCGCGTGTTCGATCATGCACCGCGCACTCTCGACCAACGTCCGATTTATTCGCTCAACTACTCCGTTAAGCTGCGGCGTGTACGGAGGCGTGAACTGCTGCACGATGCCCTCGTTGCGGCAGAACGCGGCGAATTTGTTGGACACGTACTCGCCGCCGTTGTCGCTCCGAAGCACCTTCACACGCCTCCCAGTCTGGGTCTCGGCGAACTTGACGAACTGCACGAACTTGTCCAGCACTTCCGACTTTCTGCGAAGTAGGAACACCACGCAGAACCGCGACCTGTCGTCAATGAACGTCACAAAGTAGCGCTTGGCGGAGAACGTCGACGTCTGCATCGGGCCACATACATTGCTATGTACGATGTCGAGTACGTTCTTGGCGCGCTCGGTTATAGTCGACTGGAAACTCACACGCGTCTGCTTGCCGAGCGCGCATCCGCCGCAGAGCTCCCACTTGTTCACCGACGCAATGTCAATGCCGACGCTGAGTTTCTGCTTCACAATCGTGTCGAGTCCGCCGTGGCCGATGTGGCCTAGTCGCAGGTGCCACAGGTACGACTTGCTCATCTGCGGCGCTTCAGCCACATTCGCAACGCTCGCACTTTCCGCTTGTACAGGCGTCATGCACAGCTTGAAGAGACCCTTGCCCGCGCGCTCGCCGATCTTCCATTTCTGGCCCTTGAGTTTGACGTGGCAGACACTGGTGTCAAATGTCATCGGCGCGGCATCCTTGGTGAATCGGCCGACCGAGAACAAGTTGCGCGTCAGCTTGGGGATGTGCCACACGTTCGTGAGTACACCCTTTTTGACGCCACTTGGAGTCTTCATCTTCATCACGATGTCGCCGCTGCCGATCGCTTGCACAACACCGTCATCCGCGAGGTGCACGTCGACTGGATCGATGGTCTTGTAGTTGACCATGAATCACTTTGAGTACGACATGTGCTGCGTCGCGCCCGAGTCGATGAGCCATGTCGGGTTCTTGGTGTCGTCGCAGCTCACCTTGCCGACCGCAAACAGGAAGTCACTTGAAGCTTGATTTTGCGCCATATTCGCACGCTGCGGACGCTGCGGACGCTGCGGACGCTGCCGGTCCGCATTGTCATGGATCCGGGAGGGACACTCCGCTATCCAATGACCCATCTTGCCGCAGTAGTTGCACGCGCCAGTCTTCTTTACTGTCCGCGCACTGCGCTTCTTGTCGCCCGTCATTAACGCTTGGCCTGCGGCGATTCCCGCGCCACCTTGCTCCTTGCGCTTCATGTCTTCATGGAGGAGCCGAGACGTCACGAGTTCCCACGTCAGGGTGTCGGAACGCGATTCCAACGCCGTGATCAGGAACTGGTACGACTCGCTCAGGCTGCCGAGAAGCGTGATCACCAAGTCGTCCTCGCTGACCGGAGCGCCGACCGCGTCGAGCTGCTCCGCCAACGTCTTGAGCTTGTTGATATGCGCGAGCACATCATCACCTTCTTCCATCATGGCCGTGAAGAAACGACGACGAAGAAAGAGCTTGTTCGCAAGGCTCTTCTTCTCGAAGTGGTCTTCTAGCTTTGACCAGACATCGTGCGCACCACTCGCCGAGCGGACCAACGGCAGTTGAGAGTCTTCCATCGCGAGGCAGATGATTGCCATCGCCTTGCGGGACTTCCTCTTGAACGTCGCTTGGTCCAACGCGTTCACGCAATGCTCGAGCTTTACTTCACCGCTGACAACCTCCCACAGGTCACGTTCTTCGAGCACCATCTGCATCTTGAACTTCCACGCGTGGAAGATGGTTCCGTCGAGCTTGTTGATGCGAGAGGGGCTGGAGTCCATGGCTGTGTAGCTGAAGTCGGTGGCGGCGGTGGCAGAGTCGAACGAGCTTGGGCTCATAACCTGTTGTAATTGCGCTTGAGTGGTTGGATGCAAAATGCAAAGTGAATATATTTAGGTCCTTAGTTCACAAAGTCTGTTGCTACTCTAAGCCTACTGGATTCTTCGACTACACGTTTCTAATCGCTATATCGCATTACTAATCGTCTAGTCGCGCATTAGTAATCGCCACATCGTGCATTACTAATTGTCTGGTCGCGCATTACTAATCGTCTAGTCGTACGTTTCTGATTCATGCCGAGGCGTTCCTCTTACAACAGCCACATCTGCACTTTGAGGTGGTGATGGAGACGCGATGCTTGACGAGATTTCTCTGTCTTGTTACAATTCTTGAGAATGCTCTAATACTCGCAGCCAATGAGTACGTGTGTTAGCGACCCTTGTCACTATAGCACAATTGCCGCGTAGCATCAAGCTTGTCGTACCAGTACTCATCGCTCTCCTAAATGGACTCATAGTGCAGATGTGCTGGAAATGTGTTGACAACCCGCCGGATCTCGACGGCCTACTCGAAGCTATCCCGGGTGAGTGAGCACTGGTCCAGAAGATGTGACGTGGGCAAACGACAGATAGCTTTCCAATATGTTGTGTGTTGCAAGGAATCTGTAGCCCCCTGCAACAATGCGTCAGAAGATGTGCAGCAGACTCACATCGTAACATTGCGCTTTTGCAGTCATGTTATAATGCGTCGATACCGCCATTGCTTCTATCACATGCGGGACCCCAGGTCATCGTCCTGCGCATGCGTTGCACGATCCTGCCTCGGATCGGCCAAGCGAGGGCTGTTCTGATCAAAGAAACTGATTCGGGAACACACGCGCTCATTCCACATCGAGCAGTGATGTATCCACTGTCACGCAGCTCGGGCATTTCTATTCGCATCTTTTATCCATCAGACTAGATATGACGCGATATGACACCATTGTGAGAAAACAGCAGCAACGCAAGTTGTTTTAAAAACCGGTCGCGCTGTAAACCGGTCCAATAACCGTGACTCGACCAAGCAGGCGAGACCGTCCGGATACCCCGCCCCACCTCACCCGACCGCCCAACCCGTAATTAGTACCAATCGATTCCGACACGTGCACGAAGCCGTCGTGCCCTCACGCTCGTGTCCCCCTCTTCCTCCTCCTCCTCCTCCTCCCTATCCATAGTGCCATCATGATGCGCAAGGTGACGTACGAGCTGGGCCGCTGCGTCCGCGAGACGGGTCAGGCGCTCGACCGTCTCGGCCTGCGCGTCTTGAACGACAACTCGTTCAAGGAAAAGTGTACGACCGCTTTCGCGCGCGCTCTCTCTCTCTCTCACACACTGCTGTCCAGTCACTTGTCGTTGTTCCCTCTATCTGTCCATCTCACGAATACTGTATTGCTACTGTGCTGTTGTTATTGTGGTTGTGGTCGTGTGTCTCGTTGTCCGCGTCGGACGCAGTCTCTCGCCACCGTCAGGTCATGGCGCTGTACGACAAGCGCCCGAAGATCGCCCACGACGTGTGGGTCGCCCCGAACGCGACCGTCGTGGGCGACGTGGAGATCTGCAACGACGCCTCGATCTTCTACAACGTCGTGATCCGGGGCGACCTCAACCAAGTGCGTATCGGCAACCGCACGAACGTGCAGGACCGGACGGTCATCCACACAGCGAGCGCCACGAGCCCGGGGTTGGCCCCTGGCGCCCACATTGGCAACGACGTCACGGTCGGCCATGGCTGCACGCTCTACTCGTGCACGATCGAGAACAATGCGCTCATTGGGATGGGCACTATCGTACTCGACGGCGCTCTCGTCGAGTCCAACACGATCCTGGCCGCTGGCAGTGTCGTGCCGCCTGGCCGTCGCATTCCAGCGGGACAACTCTGGGCTGGCAATCCGGCCAAGTACGTGCGTGACCTGTCGGACGACGAAGTCGCTGAGATCACGAAGCAGGCCAGCGAGTACCGGAGCATTGCCAGCACCCACAGCGACGAGTTTTTGCCCTATGGCACGGCCTACCTGGATGCTGAGAAGATTAAAGCTGCTGGCGGCCAGCTGTAGACCGTTTGGATCGTCTTGTGCTGAGGGCGAGCGAGATATCATCCTTTTGCTTTCAGTACAGCAAAGGAAGAGGTCGCAGATCTGTCTGTGGACGCATCCGATGGTTACGCTTGCGGGTTGATTGCGGTCCTGTTTACAACAAGCGAACAACGTGGTCATCTCGCAGCACAACTCGGTTTCTTGTAAACAACACACAACTGACACTAACGGGCAGACCAAATGGCAGAAGCGGTTGTTGGCAGTGTTCAGTCGTCATCATCAGTGCGTATCCTCCGACGTTTCGGCTTCTTCTGACCGCGCGTCTTGAAGCTGACGTTTCTACTAGCAGTCACATTGATCTCCTCTTCACCGCAGGGTGTTGTTACATCGCCATACACCGTCGCATCAGCAGCACTATCTAAGTTGACGCCCTTGTAAGTACCACCCCATGGGTTGAATGCACCCAGCGCATTGTCTCCTTGCGAGGAAAGATCCTCCAACGCATCGAGACGCTGCTGCTCGTCAATATGTCGCGCTGCCTCTTCTTCCGTTTCCTTCGCACGTTGTGCTACAGCCTCCGAGCTCTCGTCGATCTGCCGCACTTCCACTGTGTTCCATTCGCCCATACCAGTGTGTTCATCAATCACTATAGGTGCCCGCGCTGGTGCTTCTGCTGCTCCGTGGTTACGCCATTGCCCCACCATTTTCTCGGCAGCTTCAAGCGTCACATTTGCCGGCAGCGGAATCCGCAGGCGGTCCGCTAGTACATCACGTTCAGTGACTGGCTTGAGCTTCTCTTCGTCTTTCACACACTCACCGACAGCTGGCAACATGTACGCAATCGTATAGCGTCGAAAGCTCAGCTCAGTGTTCGGGACTGCATGCACCGTAGCTTGTTCAACCAGCGCGTCCAGCCACTGCTCTTGTTCTTCGACCCATATCTGGCACGCGCTCCCGGCATCCAGCTGCGTCTCGTGCTTTTTGCCTTCGAGATACACGACACCTCGCACAGCATACACACCGTTATCGTCACGCTCTTCTACTGCTTCGGTTTCCTCCTTCTCTTGGTCGAAACCATTCGAACGATCCAGTGCTCCACGATCCACCGGTCGTCGATCCTCTCGACGTGCCATTGACACTGCTGTTCGGTCGTTGCTGTGCCCAATCGGTCCAAACACAGCATCGCTTTGACCCGTTCTCCGAGGCGGTGGAGCAGGCAAAGCGGTCGGTGCAGAGCAAGAAGACGGCGCATTCGTGCGGCGACGGACCAGATCTTGTTCAAATTTGGCGTGCGCGGCCTCTTCAATCTGCTGCAGCTGGTTCTGGATCTCTCTGTGGGCATTCCTCGCATCGCTCTTCGCCCGGCGGTTGAGTTTCAGCGCTTCTTCGACCTTTTCCTTGTGCTTTCGCCCCTGTTCGTGGTGCCTGACGCTCTGGGCAACAAACACAGCACACACACACAGGCACAAGAAGTGGTCGTGTGAGCTTGCGACCCGCCCACACCCATCGTTGCCATGGAGGGACAGAAGAGGTGCTCCACAGAGAGAGAGAGAGAGAGAGAGAGAGAGAGAGAGAGAGGAGAGAGAGAGAGAGAGAGACAATGGACAGAGCGCAAGGGACGTACGCCCTTATCGCTCGGCATCCACACATTGCAGTACTTGCAGCAGTGCCGCTCGCGAGACACCCAGTGGTCTGTCATGGCGGACAGCTGTGGCGGAGCCGCTCGGGCTGAGAGCCTATCGACCAATCAGATCGTCGCGCACAATGCGACGCGACAGGCCACGACGTTGTTTTGCTCCGTGCGATGTGATGGACTCATCGTACGTGCGGGTGCGTTTCGACCTCTTGATAAGAATATCAACACCGACTTGGGTGGCTCCCGCGGCCCGCCCAGTCGACGGACCGCTTCAGTCGACGTTCTCCACCAGAAACAGCAGCAACAATGGCGACGAAACGCGGTACGTGGCCCAGTGCAGTCCGTGCCAGCGCTCTGTTGTTCCTTACCGTCGACACTAACTTAACACACTCACTCATGACCGACGCGGGTCACTTCTTTGACGCTGCGCTGCAGGACGCGGTGGGGCCTCTGGCAACAAGTTCCGCATGACTTTGGGTCTCCCCGTCGGTGCCGTGATGAACTGCGCGGACAACTCGGGCGCCAAGAACCTGTACATCATTGCGGTGTGCGGCATCAAGGGCCGTCTGAACCGCCTGCCGGCTGCGGGCGTGGGCGACATGGTGCTCGCGACCGTCAAGAAGGGTAAGCCGGACCTCCGTAAGAAGGTCATGCCCGCCGTGGTCATTCGCCAGCGCAAGTCGTGGCGTCGCAAAGACGGCGTGTTCCTCTACTTCGAAGACAACGCCGGTGTCATTGTGAATCCGAAGGGCGAGATGAAGGGATCGGCCATTACGGGTCCAGTGGGCAAGGAGTGCGCTGACTTGTGGCCGCGTATTGCTGCGAACGCCGGGTCCATTGTCTGAGCTGAAGAGGATGCGAAGAAAGATTGCAGGAGTCAGCTGTGTCACGGACACAGCGAGTTGCCGCTTGCGTGGGTGGGAGAAGGGTCCCAATGTGGGATAGCGTCGACGCAGTGACACATAAGCAATGACACTGGAACATTGTTGCTCGTCGTGGTTGAGTGTCTTTTTGTCATGTGCGCGGTGACGTCTTCTTTTGCTTCAGCTGTAGGATGTGTGTGGCATTGCGGCTGGCACAACAGCTGCAGCCAGTTGCATCTCACTCTGGTACCGATCCTAGCAGATACTTTGTCTATCAGGGATGTTGTGTTCACCATAGCGAAAGAAGCGGACAATGGCTCGTTAATGGTCTAGTGCGCTATACGTTACGGCACGAAGTCGTGCGTTTGGGGCTGGGAGTCTGCAAATTGTAAGTCATGGATCGACTCACCATTGCACTTGCCCGTCATTGTGAGCTGATGCAAGTGGTTTTGTAGTGCACCAGGAAAAGATAGTCATCGTGCTGAACCCCTCTGCAATCATGCTTTGTCTGGGCACGCTGCACGTCACGGGGTTACCTCGTTCCACGATATTGACACAAATGAAATGTCAGTGTATATGTCATCTTGCATATAATTTTCTTCTTGATTAACACGTAAACGAACAATAATTGATTGCATTGCCTAAAAAGAACAGATAAAGTGGCCGTCGCCGATTGCGAAAGATAGGTATGGCATAATGTTGGAAGCATTCCTTCATCGAATACTCATGCAATGGGGGCTGGCAGATATTTACAATGTTGTTTAAATCTGACCAAAAGGGGCCGACAGATGCCTTACAATTTGAAAATACATTCGAACACAGCAACGATAGACCAAATTATAACTATTAAAAAGCAATACCATATGTAAGATATCTTCTTCTTTTTTCCGTACATGAATGTCTTTAGGTAAGTCTACTTGCTTCCTCTGCACGTATGTGTACGTGGGATTATGCGGCACAATCTTGCACTCTTTTCAGCGTAGATACGCTTGTGCTTGCTAGCACAAAGTGAAGGATGAAAATGAGGATACGTCGAGCCTGGGTAAGCTTGAACTTGCTGGCACAAAGTAAAGAATTTGTTTGATGATGTGTGAACGCGCGCCAGACGCGTTTCGTTCCCCCCGCCGGGGCCCTCGTCAATGGCTTCGTTAAACTAAGAGCAAGATCTTTTCTCTATACTGCGCTCAACGACCAATAACCTTCTATAACTAAGTGGAATAGACAACAAACCAATTGTCATTTTTTGTGTACCACGACCCAGAAATTAGATGTATGGATCATCTGGCAGCATCGATCGGTTGTGAAGCCTGAATCTTGTTCTGATGACGTGTATAGTAGTTCATCTTCGGCGCCAATAGAGTTTAAAAATGAGTACGTGCAACGGCATCACTTGTCATACAATCGTTATCGGGAGCGCATAAATACTTAGTGTGGCAATCGTCACTTGAGTTGAGCGTTTGGTCTGCGGTTTATGTCAAACGAAATGCAGATCCGAAAGTATACTAAGCTGGCAATTCGACCTTCACGGAGCATAGGCTTTGTCGAGAGAGCACTAGGTATGAACAAAAACATTTTACTAAAAGAGGCGACATGGCATCATTAGATCGACTGTAATCTAAATCGTTGGGGCCGTCACTGCAGTTTTCCAAACATAGCTTGAGTGATAATAACATCAATGGGTTTTTGAATTTCGAACGTTACAAGACCCCTATAGCACACCGAGACTTCTAACTTTATACGAATGATAATAAACGCGTAGACACTTTTTATATTGTATTAGATGGCACCTTTCGAGTCAAATCTGAGGATCTAAGGATGCCATTTCTCGTAGCTAAGGGTCTTGCGAGATCTGCGCAGTGGACAATTCATGTAGATCTGTGTGCTCGTCGCTTGGCGAGTGTTCCTCGATACGTGGTAGGAAATGATATTTGTTGCATACGAACGGGTGATCAGAACTGTAACGGGGCACACCCTTGCGTGACTTAACGCAAGGGATTTGGGTGCCCCGACGGACGTACACGTGGCGAGCGAGGAAGCGTAGGTAGGGTAAAGTAGAACCGTTATATTAATAAATTAAGTCTTTAAACTACTGTCTCTTCGTTTGACTTAATTCAATTATACTAATATAACTGCATGTATGGTGACGTCTCGTCACCACTCATTCGCGCTCTTGCGGCGATTGGTGGGTTGATATCATCACGATATCAACCAATGAACAGACCCTTTGGTCGACCCTCCAATATCACCACTTTGGTGATATTGTTTAAAGAATATCCATCTTATATTCTTTATTGTCACTTTCCTTAAGTGACAATATCATGTAACGGGCTGCCCCGTTACAAGAACCTCATCGATGGACCACATAGTTGTTAGCGAAAATTCATAGATTATGAGACACAAGTTTTATCATAGGTCTCACTTATGGTCTTAATTTCGCGTTGATGATTTGCGCGAATATTAGTTTGCATTGTATAAGTCCTTACCGTGCGAGCCGACCAGGATAATGATGCTTAGGATGATCGCTTCCTCATAAATTGATAAGGAGATTTGCTTTCCGAAGCTGTTTCCTGCCTCATAAGCAAGTGTTTGCAAGCTTTTTGCCATTGTTTAGCAGCCACTCACTCATGTTATAAATTGATCTTCCTACAGTTTGGCAATAAGTTGTGGCGTAAATCCACAAGAGAATAAAGGGTGGTGCTTTTATATAAGTCATGCTACAATTAACCGGCTTATACGTCGATATATCAGGGGCACTTGGTCACAGATAATATAGTAAACAACATATATTTTTTAACATAGATAGGAAAACTGCTTCTGTTCAATCGTGTGGGCGTGAGATGGGCAATACGAACACATTAGGGAGTACTTATAATGTTTTGACCTGGTTGTTGTTAGAAATGCGTTTTAAGATCAGTAATGCGCCATTCATTGCCAATATGTACACATCACATGTGTTTGAGACTGGCACGATGTATCATACCAATTCAGTGTCATCTGTTGTCATTCATAGCCATATTGATAAAGTAAACATAGAGGTGCAAAGACATTACGTCAGTGAAAATATAATACATGCGTGGGTATCAATTTACGTCACTTTGAACGAAAAAATTGTGGCTATCAGAATCGCTTCTTGGCTAAATGGGAATAAGACACTTCATGCGCCCTGACTTACAAATTGACAATCAGACTTTTTGAGGAGGCAATTGCGCTCAGCTATAAGCGACACAGAATGATTATGAGCTTGAAAAAATAATTTGTTTCGCGAACATTTGAGCAAAATTTCAAGATGGCTGCAATTTATCGTAATGTACACAGCTAATGTATCAATCGGGGCTCACACCACTTAGTTTAGCAATCATCTAGGGCGACAATATAACTAACGTCTAATCAGCTGACCACTTCGTGTGGTATTCATCTTCGTCGTGTGTGACTATATCTTTGTGCAGCCATCGATTGATGTCACGGATTGCGTCACTTGCTATTGAACGCGTCAGCTTCAAATTGATTTGTGCATATACAGTGCATACCTGTGATCAACAATTTTATGTAAAGTAGAACGATAAAATACAAGTTCGGCAACACTTATACAGACCTTGCACCAATATGAACTGCTGCAAACTGCTTGCATATATTGCTATGAAATACAAAGGTGGCTGTTTTCAATACGGTATTTATGTTGTGCTTTATAATTTTATTCAGATCGATTTATAGACGTCTGTCTATTGATACAGTAAAGCATTAGATGCTAATTGCAAGCTTTGTTAATATAAAATCCTTACAACGTTTTCGATAGAAAAAAGGCGTGCGCACAATACTATGGCCGCGTTTGTCTGACTATTACATTTGGACCCATCGTCCGTATACGTAGATGATGCACCTCAGATCGTGATGCATTTAAGCATCGATATAATACATGATGGGCTGCTGTACCGCATATGTAGTCCCAGCGGAGCACGTGTCGCAGATCCGACACATAGCGGTAGGGTAGCATGGATTGTGTGCAAGTCTGGCTATTAGCAGTCAGTAGGAAAAGCGACCCTAACACTACTTACATCGCGGTCCAAGGAGCACTCACTAGCTGGCATAGTATCAGTTTCTTTAAGCAAGTAAGTGCTTATGAGTCAAACGTATGAGATGTGTTTTGTAATAAGACTCGTCCACCACTCGTGCGCGGTTACAGCCTTGAACGGCTATGACAAA